ATCATATGCGACCCATAATATGAAGCTTCACTTCTTTTATCCTTTGTGTTGTGAAGAGTGCACTCGATATTTTTTAACATCTTTGTAAATATGAATTAACCTTATTATTGATTTTAAAAACAGCATTAACGCTGACAAATGTTTTTTTTTCGAATACTGGAATAACCACATTGAATTAGCTTCTCGATGTGGCAGTGGTGACAAGTTTTGTTCAAGCCTATTGATTTATCATGTCGACAAGCGTCTTATGTCATTATCGGACGGATTCAAGGACATCAGCGTCGTCGGGTGTGGGTGACAAAACTGGTCAGAAAGACGTCGGCAGAAAACATATCATACAAATGTTTCCAGGATTTCAATCCTTAGTAATAGACGCCATTGTAGTTCATCGATTATGTTATCTTTGTTATATATACTTATTATATGAATCATAAGTCATTTTCAATGATTTTTACATTTCAATGTTTGCGATAGTATTGTTGAAAATATTGTGTTACTTCAAAAATAAACCCTTTGTGTGAGCTTTAACGAGTGTAACTTTGTGGAAATAGACTAAAAGTTAAAACAGTAATTTACAACAACAAAAAAACTACTATTGTCTGCATGCATACTGTATAGTAATGATATAAAGTTATAATACCAAACAAGGTTATAATATACATCGGTTTCAAGCAATTTGTTGCTTACTTGCCAATCAAATTCCAGGTGATACCAGAGTCTGATAATCTTTGGTTTGACCAAAGGCTACACAAGCTAATGGAATTCTTTTTAAAACATCAATGAAATAGATCACGTGAGAATTTCGAAGAATTCACTGTATAATCTATGATATCTTAAAAAGCATTTGAAATTCAAATTGCGGGATATTTCTTTCAAATTTAAGAGATTAAAACACATTGACTACATCAGTGAAAATTCCTGTTGAGAATTTTATGATTACATCTTGGTACTATTAGTACATCACACTAGTAAAGTCTTTATATCAAATAGATCATACTTGACAAATCATTCAAGCAGGGGACTTTTCAGTAAGTCTACACGTGACAAGCACTTAGAATATATTTTTCTTTTATCTTTTCTTGTTCAGAAGTATAAAGACTTCTTAGATTTAGTATGAAATGAATTTCCTTTTGACGCAATTTACTTTATTTTCTAAGTGAGAACTTTGAATGTTAAAAGATTTGACAAAAGTGTTAATCGTAAAAACCACTAATTACAAGAACGTTTCATCTATTTCATGGCTTTTAAGATCTATAGGAGAGAATTTATGTCAACGCTTTTGTTTTGTTTTTTTAACTTAGATATTATTTGAATTAGATGCGATTTGAATGACGATTCCGAAATAACTGAACAATAATTGGTTAAGTGGAATGTATGCCATTCGTGTCTGAAACAAAATTAAATGGATCATAACATCCGACTCACATACACAAATTGCAAACCAGTGAAAATAAAGTTGGGTAATAAAGTTCAAATGGCATAACCCTAGAACGAAAATTAAACTTATCTGTAAGTATCTTACAATGTACCAAAGGTTTGAGTAGATACAATTAACAACAAATGTAGGCTAAGTGGAATTTATTCCACCCGTATTTTGCATGGAATTATTTCCGTTGATTGCACTTCTAAAATTATTCATTTTCGATAGTGTCTGTTAGCGATGCATCGGCATAAAGTCGTCATTGTTTTGATGGATCGTCTTAGGATATATATATGTGTGTAGATATATGTGTAAGATTCTGTTCATGAAGAGGTATAGACATTTCTGACTAAAGCTTCTTATAACAGATAAAATTGCCCTTTTTGTTGGTCTCGTGTTAGCGTTCTCTCCTTTAGTGCAAGCGAGTTGTGGGTTGCAGATGGGTACAAAACTGCATATTGATATCACTCTAACATAATAAAATCTTGACCATGCATAAAATATAGCCGTAGGGCCTTAAACAACAATCTCTGATAAAACAATTATTTAAAATTAAAATTAAAAAAGTATTTCTAAAACTTTAATATACATTCAATGATTTGAATAGTAGTAAATAATTTGAATATGGTAGGACGATTACCATTAAAATCCTTGATGTAGTTGTTTGTGTTTCAATGATAGAAGGGATTGTTAAAAAAATTTACATTTTTTTCCTGGTTATTATAGCTTAAAAAATTCGTACTAACAATCGGAACACTTCAGGAGATATCTGATGTAACATTTTATTTCATTTACATGTAAATTAGACCTGTCAATACAGAAGTACCATATGCAGAAAACATTTAAATGGATTGGTAGTATATTGTTCAAACTAGATCAATGGTGCATGAGTACTGATACAAAATATGAAGTATATCAATATAGAAAAATGAATAATGTTTACTTAATTGTAACAGTTTATGTCCGATATGTTATGACACTTGATGCGTCATATTTTACATAACAAATAGAAAGCAAGATAATACTAGGACCATAGATATATTATCCATGGCTATTATATCTATACTAGGACGAACAAATGAGTGATATATAATTGTAAACTATAGCTTTGGATATGAACCCCTTTTTTCTTTACTGTGTGTATATCCTTTTAAGTCAATTCAAATTTCTTTAATATTCCAACTTGTTTTTACTTATTTAATGTGCTCTTCCTTTTATTCTCACGATCTTATAATCACGGTAGGTTATACGTGCGTATATTCTAATATTTAATGAATAAAGAAGAAGCACGTACAAACTACTGTGATTTTAAGATCGTGTGGACAAGAGCAAAAGCGCACAATTTTAGAATAAATTGAAATATTAAATACATTTGAATTGACAGAAAAGGAAACAGGGGTTCATTCCCAAGCGACTGTGAGCTAAATATGTGGATTTTTACGTTTAGTCTTAATAATAAGGAAACGTGATGGTGCTTGGTATATGTAATTTAGAATACCAGTAAAATGTTTTACCTAGCTCAGAGTGTTCTTTGTTTTGCTTTCATCCTGTAATTTGCTTATTTCCAGTCAAAATCATTTTAACATCTTCTTATAATGCCTTTTGTCGATGCCATTACAAGCAGTGATCACAGAGTATTTTAGCACTTTACATAACATTAAACCAAAATTTCATGAAAGGAGGAGATATGATGTCAGCCATTATCTTTCCGCTGAAATTACAAAAGAAAGAATATGTTTTAAGTCTTTCAAAGTCATGTTTATTCTCATGATAAATTGCTAGGATTATATATCAAGTTTGATCCGCAATATTATCTTTGTAGGAGATATTCTGTACCAACTTACCTTTCAGGTACGGGCTTGGCTCATATCTTTGTTTTATTTTTGTTTCTGTTTTTACTAATAACTTATGAAACGTTAGTTTTGATCATATACCTATCATCATAGATGTAGATTTCACATCCGAACTGTCTTATTGTACAAACATCAAATTTTAAATTATAATTAAAGTACAAACAATGAAGACTATAAAACAACTGGTAAGAGAGATTTTTTTTTTATTTAACCATCAACTCATATATATCAGATTTAATTAGATTAAGAAAAGCGAACATCTGCAACATTTTTCAGAAAACCATGCATCTCATAAGCCAGCATTTAGGTTTTATTCGTTTCTTCGGTTTTTTCTTTTATATAGTTTTAGAAATTTCCTGTCTAGTATAAGAATACAAGTTTGATTTTAGAACTTCATCTCTTTAATCCTGAATATTGAGGGATTTGATGTTTTGCGTGTAATCTATATATTTTCGTTCCTGTGTAGTTAATATCTGTGGGGGAGTACTATTGTTGTTCTTTTTTTGTTAAACTTTAAAATGTATATGCACCTTTAGAAAATTCAGTTCATATTAATTGTATTGGAAGATTTGATGTACACAACACATTTTTCTTATGAATTAGCTTCTACGAACAGTTTTCTTTCCCATTTAAGTTACTAAAGGTGGAAAGTAATCTCTGGAACGATGCAAATTTAAAGGGATTGTGCTTTAAGGATTGCATAATTAAAAATGAATTGCAATTCAAATTTTGAAAAGGTCCTGCTAAAATCCTCCATACTAAATTTGTTTCGGAAGTGTGAATAAAGCAACGGTTGGTTTATGTTTCCTTTCATAGAGGGAAAGAAAGAAAAGTAAAAAGAATAGCACACCAGTATAATTGTTTTGTTCATAATGGAATTAAAAGATGATTTCTTCAAGTTCTTCAAGTTTATGAGTAAGCAGCCCAGTTAACACATTAATTACCTTTAGAACCCAAACAATTGCAAACTTTTTTCTTTCAATATTAACTTTCTTAGAACCCCATGATTCAATTCACGTGTCTCGGGTATGAATATATCACAGTGTCATAATGTTGCATAGGTTACGAAGGTTGTTTCAGCATTATGGTCTTTCAAAGTGTCTACCAAGGGTAAATATTCCAACGTACCAATTTGTAGAAATGCAAATCATATTAGAATTATTCTGTTATATTTACTGTTGTTAAAGAGATGCTTTACGGAAGAAAAATATCAAATTTAATTGTCGATTAGCAGCTTATCCGTTGTTTATGAACTACAGTGCTAATGGCCATAAAAAAAATTTATCTGCTTGTTCATGAAGCATCATTGAATCAGAGGACTATGCAAACAAAAGCTGCCACGGGTCTTGATTGTTTTATTTTATCCAACTAGAGTTATTAATTGTTGTTATTGTATCGTTTACCTGTCGAGGAATATGATGTTTCATTCTCAATAATTTTTATATTGGTTTGATTTGAATATAAGGCAATAATTAGTAGTCTATTGCTCAGACCAAAGGAATCAGATAGGCCATTCTTATTATTCAAGATCGGCTAAAGGAGATTATATCACCCATGTGTTAACACGACAGGTCAGCCTAATGTTTACAAAACAGAAAGTTTTTTTTTAAATCTGACAATATATTTCAATAATAATATCATATGATTAATCAATGACGGGACGTGTATTTTGTGTTTTGGAGATATCGGACAATTTTATTGGTGTATTAACATTAGATCTGATTCAGTTATCAGTCGAAAATAAGTTACGTAATCCATTTCATACCAGATCTGTACTACACTTGTGATTTTGACTTTCATCATCAAGAAACGATTTTCCTATTTTCTAATCTAATGTAACAGCTATAGACTTGTTAGGAGCAATTAATGACAATAGAATATAGATAATGTGGCTAATTATGCCTATAATTGTATGAGTTAGTAATTGTGCAATTATGTCGTCGGATGTTACACCAGTAAATAACAACCACTTTCATTTCAACTCTCCAAAGTTTAAATTTAAAAAGGAAGATAAACGTAAGATGAAAGAGGGTAAAGAGGATGTGTTTGTTAACTTATTTCTGTTGAGTAAATCTTATAAACGTTGGCAGCTTGCAGATACAGAAGAGGAATTCCTGCATGCAGCGGAATTTGGTGACATACCTACAGTTAAGAGAATCCTCCAAGAGAATCCTAACCTGAATGTGGACTGTATTGATGCTCTTGGACGAACTGCGTTAAGACTCTCGGTCAAGAATGAACATCTCGAAGTAAGTGTAAATATGTTCGGAATATCATCAAGATAATGCCTTCAAAACATGCCTATATAACATTGAACATTGTAAAGTTTTATACTGTTGAAGTATTTTCATCACGTTTATCCCTTTTTAGTCTCGAATATTAAACATTTTTTTCTGTAAATTTACACATGGAGCAATGTTAGCGTTAAATTTTCAAATTAAAATACACAAAACATATTCACAAATATTTTGCAAATGTTTGCATACTCGTGTGTACTGATGATGTATACTACAATGGTTTTTTTCATCAGCCGTTTTTCAAATTTTGGCTGATTAAGGTAACTAATGCGTTTAGCAAACGAAACAAAACGGTTTCGTTGTTTTGCTTTGAACTTTGAAATATTTCAAGGTACTTTAGGGTTTCCATTATTTACTATAATACTTATTATCGTCACACAAATATTAGTGCCAATGTCTTGAAATGATCAATATTTTCGATTGGAATTCAAACAACAGATGAATCTAGTGAAAATAATTGTAAGAAGGATAATTGTACTACAAGAAAAATAGAAGTATATCAAAGCTTTATAGTGGTGAAAGGAATATAAATAATAAAACACGGCGAACAATAAAGAGAGACAGACAGGAGTATAAACACTAAAAAATGATAGCAAACTGATCAAGAACGCCAGAACTTTGAATCAGTGACTTCAATACACGATTTTCTTACATATCACAAAGTTACAAATAGACAACACAGGCTTTTGTTTTAAAATAAAATTCAATATACAAAAAGCATCATTAATTTTTATAACTTATGTAAAACAAGTTAATATCAGCCGTTTTTCCTGTTTGTACCTCTCTTGTTCTGTATATTCAGCCGTTTTTCCTGCTTGTACCTTTCTTGTTCTGTATATTCGGCCGTTATCGTGCTAATCTTGTAAAGAATTACCACAATATTAACAGATAACTGACAGATGGACGTTGTACTAATGACTCATAACCAAAAGGGGGAAAATCTGATTCGTAGCTGGTTGTTTGTTTTTCGGGATATTTTTATTTTTTGTTATTCTTTTTTTAAGGGTATGATGTGAAATATCAGTTTAAAAAAGTAAAGGGAAAGAAAGACTGTAGGTTAAGCGGCACATGACAGGCCAGAACTGTAGAATTACAAAACAATGTTAGATATATATATATGAACAATATAATCGATCTTTTGTTCCATTTTATCCTCTTTTTTTTTTTATCTTTGATGAATTTTTGCCAATTGTTTAACCGTTACACTAGATCTGCAAAGCAGGGTTTGTGTAAAGTGTCATACGCTTGAAGTGGTAGCTAACTTTAACATTTGAAGGGTTGGGGTGTCGGATTAAATAATATGTTTTTAATCTTTCCCAAATTTTGGCTGATGAAGGTAACTAATGCATTTAGCAAACGAAGCAAAACGGTGTGTTGTTTTGCTTTGAAGTTCCAAACTTTGTTAATAAATATATGTTTGTTTGCAGTAATCACACAAGTGTCATAAAATGTTCTTTTAATATTTAGAATTCTGGTAAGCCTATTTATGTTCTAAATATGTATGATGCAGTAATCGCTTGTATTTCACTAGTGTCATATAATGTACTTTTAAATAATATTTATTATTTTAGTAAGCCGTATTTTGTTCTATTTATGTATAAAAGTTAATTGTCAAATTAAGTAGAAAAAGCTTATTGTCAATGTAAGTAGAACTTTATCGTAGCGTTATAAAACTGTCTATTCCGATATTTAGTGCTTTTAAACTGTTCATCATCACAGCGTTATGAGTCATATGTCACGATGTATAATGCTCTTTGTTTACACTATACCATAATAGCTTTACATCAGTGTTGCTGTTTTGGAACATACCATAACAATTCGTTTTGTTTTAAAAGATGAACTAATTTTCATATCAACCACATTACACCGTAATAAAATAACAAGTCCGTATCCAAATTCCCGATTTTGTTTCCAATTTTAGGTTGGTTTTTTTTTTGAATAAATTGGGAATTGTTTCAGAAATTTAAGAAGCTATTTATTATCAAAATGATATTTTAAAGGTATCTAAGATTTCTTTTTTCAATAGTTATAGCGCTTGTTTTTTTCCCGTCCCAAATTTTTATTTGATATTGCGCGCTAAAAGAATATTTTTACCCTTACTCATTCCGACCTTTCGATCTTTCTAAGTGATATATAGGTCTAGTCTTTGAAATTAATGTTACAATGACAAACTCGATGCTTATTTTAAACGTATAATGTAAAAGGGTATAGAAACAACTGTGGTGCAATGAAAAATTAAAATGGGGAAGATACAGTGTGGAAGACCGAGACAATTTTAACAGACAAGACAAACATTATCATCAAAGACTTGACCACATGTTTACACTCATCAATAATCCCGCAACGCTGAAAATTTAAACTAAGACAAATAAACTTTCATATTATAAGATCTAGCAGGTATATGAAATTTTTCAGATACCTTGTGGCAAATTTTTCAGGTCTAAGCCAATTTTAGTAAAAACCCGGTATGAGAACGAGACTTTGATACTATTACCATTTAATTCAATATCTGTCCCATATGTTACTCTATTTCATACTCAAGGAAGTAACCCTAAGATAAGAGACATAACTCTTACAAATCACTGGTATGTTTAGGACAACCATTTTCATAAACACTATTTTAATCTTCTGTGAAACTAAGATTACCATACTTCTGTTCATATAAATGCTTAAAACTACCTTCATTAACCTATAAAATGTCCATATGAGACTAGCTTGTAACAGAATCGCAAAACATCCGTTCAATATTTATAGCGTTGACTTGATTTAAACCATTCAACGGTTATCATTTATCAAACTGAAGCCATTAATTAGAGCATGGCCTTTGCTTTAAATCTTAATAAATTATAATAGAACATAAAGCGATGTTAAAGGTAATATTCACCTCTTTTTTCAGATTAAATTATTCAGTAATGGATATTAGTGATTAATGTATCCCAGTTCTTCATTAATTGTGTCATCTTCAATCTTTACAATTCATGCATATTTAAATAGATAGATTCCTTGTGGGTCCATTCTAGTGATTTTTTTGTAGATCCTTTGCTTTAGATACTTCAAAATTCTAATTCAATTTGTGATTGAAGTAGACATGTTAAAAATTCAAATATATCACAATAATTATTTGTATATGACAAACAGCTACATAAATAAAAGATATCAAGAATTCTGAAGCTTGAATTTCAAAAAGTCAGTAATGGAAATCGATTGAGGTCAAAATAATTTCTTTGAAACTTATAGTTTTTTCGCTGACATCTTTGAAGTAATGAACATATACATATAAGATTTCATTTTCCTTGCTTTGTTAGAGATTGCAATTTGTTTAATCATTAAACTAGCGCAGACAGATGGTTTAAATGATTGTATTTCAAAAATGTAACAGCTGTAGTCTTTGTAATAGTATCCAAAATATTTTTGTTTCTTTTCCTTTATTTTTCAGACATCTAGTCAGACGTTAGTTTTTTAAAAATTATATTTGTTTCCATGTGAAATATGATATACTTTACTTCATCCCCTCTAATTTCATGTCATATACGGTTGTTTGCCACAAAGTATTGTTAGTATTACGCCATATATGACGTAAAAACTCAATATTGAAAGTTAGCGGGAGTTTGATATTTTATTATCCTAATTATGAGTTCTGTGTACTTTAGCATGAACGTTACAACATTCTGATTAGATAACGTTCTATAATTTAAGAATTCATAGCCAAGATGAAAATATGTTCATTATCAATCATTCGCTGGCAGGTAGAAATTTAACACCTTTGTTGTTACGGTATTACTTTTCAGATGAATCAGTTTCTAGAGAACTACCCGGTTTTAGTTAATGCTTGGTCTGACTAATTCAGCTGTACAGTTAGCTGATTATCATCGTATTTTTAATTTATTAATCTAAAAGGAATCAATTGTCAAATTTCAAATCTGAAAGCAACTTTTGGTTTATAATTGCCATAAAATATCTCTCTCTCTCTCTCTCTGAATTGACAGTTGACTCTTTGTCTTATCTGATGTTGAATTAGCCTTTACTAGCGCTATCATATACAGCCTTGTATTTGAATATTTTTTTAGATATAAACTCCCTGAATTTACACCACACATTTATGTTAAAGATCAATACAAAGTTTTGTCTGATCTTTCTCAGTAAAGAATAAATAAAATAGGTTTGACGTAAAAACTCACACGCAAATTGGAAATTTTCTGTGATAAATTTCAATTTTATCTTTGTGGGAAAAAAAATGTGATCTGTTCAGAATGAAATTAATTGGTTGCTTGCTAGGTATTTCCGAAGATTGATTCGACAAACAATGGTTTCATTCTTGATTTGTTTTGTCGGTATGCCGGAAGATACATTCCTATATTTATTTAGATTCATTGTCAAGGTAACCTTGGAAAGAATTTTAGATTTTATATTGGATTGTTTCTATCTTTGTGTGCGCACGCAAATACCTAAAATTCGGAGAGAGAGAAAAGCTCTATTGTTACAAAATTCACTTTACTTTCAATATTGTCATCCAGAAAGAAAATTTACAAATGTGTTATTTTCTAATTTATTTGATAAGTTTGTTTTCCTTAGATTGTGGAAGTTCTGCTTGATAGATCAAGTGGGCACCATATATACGAAGCCGTCTTGCAGGCCATTAGCGCCGGACATATACAAATTGCTGAAACCATCTTGAAGCATCGTCGGTACTTGGAAATGTGGAAAGAACGTAAAAAACTTGGCGATGACGACTACTTCTTCAACAAATCAATGTTTGAAGAATCTCAATTCTCTCCTGATATAACTCCACTGATTTTAGCAGCTCATAAAAACCAGTATGAAGTTGTACAATTATTGATGCTTAGAGGAGAAATTATAAACAAACCACATAAATTTCAATGTGCTTGTCAAGAATGTACCAATAAGATGAAATTTGACAAGTTACGATCAGCAAAATATCGTTTGAATGCATACAGAGGCTTAGCCAGCGAAGCTTATATTTCGCTGTCAAGTAAAGATCCCATTTTAACAGCTTTTGAACTAGGCGCCGAAGTCAAGCATCTTTCAAGAGTGGAAAAGTATTTTAAGGTACTTTAAGGTTTCCATTATTTACTATAATACTTGTAATCGATTATTGACACACACATTAGTACCAATTGGACGTTTCAGAATCCAAAGGACTATGGGTAATTTCATTGTTCGTACACCAAAATGAAAATCACGTCATTAGTTCAGTATCCATTGTTTCGAAAGTTTTAAACCAATCACAACGTTTTAGTGTACGCTTTAGAAAACATTACCCAGAATGCACTAGATTCTGAAACGATCAATGTAATCAATTGGAATTCAAACAACAGATGAATCTACTGAAAATTATTGTAAGAATGATAATTGTACTACAAGAAAAATAGAAGTATGTCGTAGTTTTAGTGATTAAAGGAAAAAAAATAATATAACACGGTGTACAATACAGAGACAGACAGGTGTATAAACATTAAAAAATGATAGCAAACTGATCAAGAACGCCAGAACTTTGAATCAGTGACTTCAATACACGATTTTCTTACATATCACAAAGTTACAAATAGACAACACAGGCTTTTGTTTTAAAAAAAATTCAATATACAAAAAGCATCATTAATTCTTATAACTTATGTAAAACAAAGTTTATTATCGAAACTATTCAGGGGTAAGACAATTCCACCTACAATTTGAACCCTTGATTTGCTATTGCATGTCAACATACCATAAAAACAATATAATGTTATGTATCAAAAATCTAACAGTATGTTGTATGCAAATAAGGGGGGGGGGGGGGCATAAATGAGAAAACAGAGCCAAAATGCACTAGTCATACAACTAAAATAAATTGTCTGTACTCTAAAATATACGATTGCAAGATTACTGTCACGACATGTATCTGAACCGTTGGATTTTCGTATGATTGTAAATATAAATAAGAAGATGTGGTAAGAGTGCCATCCAGGTCACAATGTGTAAAAAGTAAACAATTATAGGTCAAAGTACGGCCTTCAACACGGAGCCTTGGCTCACATCGAACAACAAGATATAAAGGGCCCCAAAAATGACTAGTGTAAAATAATTCAAACAGAAAAACCAACGGTCTAATCTATATAAAAAACGAGAAACGAGAAACACTTATGAACCACATCAACAAACGACAACCACTTAACAACAGGATCCTGACTTAGGACAGGTGCATAAAAATGCAGCGGGTTTAAACGTTTTAACCGGCGCCAACCATCACCCTAACCTGAAACAATGGTATAACATAACAACATAAAAAGACACAAAATAAAATATCAATTGAAATGGCTTAACTCGATCAAAAAGATAATACACAAAAACAAGTAAATATACACTGAACGAATAAGTTTGATCTATGACGCAATATAAATAAAAAAGATGTTTCAGTATTAAAAGGACAACTTCAACCTAGGACAAAATGGCGTTAAATAAAGTAACGTACACAGGTAAACAAAATAAATTTGTTATTCATAATACGAATACAGAAGTTTTTTTTTTTTTTTTTTTTTTTTTTTTTAAACCTATTTGAATCAGGAAGCTATTAACCAGTAATGCACGTTGTGTTATATATGTAAATATTACTACTTTTTTTTTACTGAAACAGACCGGATATAGTTCTTGTACTCAAGTACATCAGTAGTGTCTTTTTCCGTAAACCGATATCTTTTAATAATTGGTATAATATTATCGACTAAGATCTAGTTTATAATATCACGATTTCCCTTGATTGTCAAACAGAATTAGCCAGATTTTATTTTATAGCAGAATAGCTGTTTGTATCCTACCTGAAAATAAAATTAGAAATAATAGATATCACAATAATTATGATATGATGACAAATTAAATGGCTTTGGGGTTTGCAATATGAGATGGTCTGGACGTGGATCCGTCTTTCTGTTTTACCTAATTTTTAGGTCATTTTTCTCTATTTTTATATTTATGCCCATTATCATATTTTAGCACCCCATTATTCTCTATTCTTTAAATTTTGGCCTATTTATCTCAGTTCGTTATTTTTTTTGGTGTTTTTTTCTGCAGGATATCCCCATTAATCCTAATCTCTATTATGTAAATCCCATCCCGACCTTCATATGGATATGTTAACAGCTTTATAAACATTCTTATTTCTCTAGTTTTTAACTTAAAATGTTGTAGCTTACTGCATTTTTGCATTCCTCTGTGTACACAACTAATATAAATACTTATTTTAATGGTGTTTAAACATTTTCTCCAAATGTCAACTTCTAGATAACAAAATGCATTTCTTTTGTTTATTGTAGAGAGAGTATAAAGACCTAGCAGAAGGATTAAGCGAATATGTTGTTCGTTTACTTAGCAGAGTCCGAACACAAGAAGAATTGGAAATTGTTCTGAATAAAGCCGGGAACCCTAGGGATAATAAATACGAGAGTTTGGCGAGGTTTAAATTAGCCATTCGTTACAACGAAAAGAAGGTTTGCGTTTCTTTATTCCTTTATTTTTTCTTAAAGTACTGGTATCGAAATAGAATAATCAACTCAAATAACAGCTTAAACGATTGTTATATTTCTGTATATTGATCATGGCTATTATCAATTCTGTTCTATTGCATTTTCAAGGGAAATATACTTTTATATGGTTTTGACTCCAAAATTTGTCTGTAAACATTTACAAATCTTTTTAAAAATACTGGATTAAGAATAGTAAATTTGCCTTTCAATATTTAAACTTATGTGTATTGTTTTTATGCGTTTTTTTTTGTTTTTGTTTTTTTGTTTGGGATGGGGGGGGGGGGGGTATTTTATTGTTTTCATTTTATAATTTCACACTTGTCCAAATATGAAGTCTTATAGTTGCTTTCTTGTCCTCTCTGTTCTCTCCTACACAATATTTTAAACCTAAATACATGTACATAGCTGTGGAATTTAATAGTCATTTGCACAAGAAATCCATTGAAGAACCTCCAGTACATTTTAACCAGATTGAAGGTGTTGCATGAACAAAAATTTCGAAAACAATTTTTGAAATTCTCCCACTTTTTTAGACAGATGGAGTTACAATTTTGAGATGTTTGTGAAATTGACATAAAAAACATCAAATATTCTAAGACATAGGAATAACTATAATACTTCAAAACAAATTAGCCACACCATTTCTGGCTGAAAATAGAGTAAAACATAGTTTCGATTTACCTTTCAAGTTTGTGTTTTCTTGATTTCAAATCATTTGTGTATTCAAAAGTACTATAGTTATATTGGTCGAATTTCAGACAGCTACACTTTTCCGCAAACTTTAAGGGGAGCATTCAAAATTGACTGTTAAAATATTAACACATAGTTTACTTAAAAAAAATGCATTCAGCGCACAAAATTGACGGAGTGGCGAATCTGATGGCATAATTGATTACATATGAACAGACACAGCTATTTATTTTGCAAAAAAAAATTATTGTGGGAGGAGTATTTCTTAACACCTCCAATTTTTAACATAATTTAAAGTTTTCTTCTTTAATCAATTAACATTCTTCAAAACAAGAATGTTGTTAATTTCAGATCATTTTCAGCATTTTCTACAAAAATATGAACTCTCAAGGTTTGATCCCCATTAAATTTAATGGAAGTGTCGCAAAACTTTCTTTGAGTAGTATATCACAAAATGCGTTTGGATGATTTGTAACAAATAGTAAATAACCATAGATAAGGGAAACGGCGTTTTCATCGCGTTGACCGTTACTAGAAGATTTCCAACGATGAGCCAAAGACTTAGCACCTTAAAGCATACTTAAGATGATTTATACGTCAATACATTGTATAAGCATTAATCTTTTGTATTCACAGCTGAAGAGTACATAAATGTTTTTGAAAAATGCCCTACTCATACTGTCTCTCGGTGTCCGATAAAATAATCGTATGTGGCAAAAATGATTTTATTCGGACAATCAAAGAGCATTAAAAATTATTAACAAAAAAATACGGATTCCAAGGTATATTTAAAAGAAATTTCATAAAACCATGCTAAATCAAACGTTAGACTTTATAAATCTCAATCAACAGTACGCATGGAAAACAACTGTCAAGATTTCGAAGGCGGACATGCAAATTTGTAATATAATGGAAATGTGCAATCCTCTACTAAATGATGCGTTTTCTTCGTTCCCCCTAAGTTGAAGAGGTCAAAAGTGTTTCACTTATCGGAAATGCCATTATAAATTTCATATAAAAACCCATATTTTTAAACATTGTGAAAACCGATTTTGATGAATTTTTTTACTGATAAACGCATAAATGTGTTTTTGTAAGTGGGTACTTTTTCTCGGTTTATTTTGTTAGACATTATTTGTTGCATAAATAATGAATATTTAAAAAGGATTGATAAATAGATAATTTAAAGAAAAATATTGTTATTTTAAAACAATAAACTCGATTTCAAATAATAATATGATCATTTTATATAGCATTATCAAAATTTATTGTATCATTTAGATAAAAATATTATCAGAAACAAATTAAAGTATAAGATGTGATTTTCATGCACACTCAAAGTGTTTCTATAGATAAGAATAATAAGTTTTAAAATTTTAGAAAATTTATGCACAATGCGAATAATTCGTAGAAATTAAAAGGGACATGTATAAAAGAATCAAAAAGTAGAAAATTCAGTAAAATTCTTCTTTAGCTGTTAAAAAATACGTCTGGAATTGGACTCACGGCTTTGAAATATATTCCAACTTCTATTCAGTTTTATCACATGTCTAGATTGTGGAAGTATGATATCAACAGCAGGAAAAGTGATATTGTATTTCAAACACAGCTTCATATGGCGACGTTATCTTTAATTCTCGCAAGGCGTCTAGGTTCTTTCTCTAGTTTAAAGCAAGACTAAATTGTTCCACCTTTTTAAATCCGTACAGTGTGTTCTGGACATTACATTAGATTGTTTCTTCTTGTGCTATCTATGGTATTTTAAATCGTCTACGATGCATACCCATTGATATGAGAGTGTTGGTCGGTATACTAATATATTTGTAGGATGAAAGCTATGAGCTTGCTTTCAGTAACTGCATGCAAATCATTAATTCGATACTGTTTGGTATTGTCGAGTCGAATAATTTTCCTGTACTGATTTTTTATGTAAAGTTCTGTTTGTACTTTTAGAGATTGAAAGTAAAAGAAATGGGATCTAACAAAACTAGTGTTAACCCGCCATATGTTAATGAGTCTTATGTTTTATTTATTCAATTGGGTGCGTCCGAAGTACTTCCTTGGGTTAACTATCATTCGGAGCAATAAAAAAAATCAAAACTTGAAAGCATTGAATGTCTGAGGACTTGAATACATAAAGAGCTGTTTAACCAAATGGGGCATAAACAATAACCAAATCCATACGTCAGCTTTACCTTAAAGAACTCTATCCTCAGTTTCTAAATAATTTCGAAATCTTTTGAACAAAAATTTAAAAAAGTTGTATAATATACCATGTCGAGACCAAAGCACTGACTACTGAACGGATGATAACATCGGGGACTAGCAGTCCACTAGCAGTGGCTTCGACACAGTGCTAGTAAATAAAAGTTTATAAATTTTATGAAAATTTTTTTTTATCACTTTATACATTTTGTGCGCCCGAAGCATTTTTATAACGCCCGTTTACTGGACGCATTATTGTATACCGTTGTTCGTTCGTCCGTCCATCCGTCTGACCGTCCGTCCGTCGTCAACATGTCGCGGGACAATAACTCAAAAACCCTTTAACCAATTTGCATGAAAATTTAGTGAATTGTTTATATCTATTGACGTAAACTCCCGTTAGATTTTTATAAATTTTAGATTTTAAGTTTCCGAGTTATTTGATTATATTTGTTTAAAAAAGGGGGGATTTTTCCAGTTTTCGGATAATAACTCAAAAACGCTTTTACCAATTTTCATTAAACTTTGGTGAACTGTTTATATCTATTTACGTAAGCTCCCTTTTGATTTTTATAAATTTTAGATTTTCAGTTTCCGAGTTATTGGATTTTATTTATAAAAAAGGCGAATTTTCCAGTTTTCGGACAATAACTCAAAAATGCTTTCAGCAGTTTTCATTAAACTTTGGTGACTGGTTTATATCTATTAAAATAAGCTCCCTTTAGTTTTTTTTTATAAACTTCTGATATGACTTTGAGTAGTTATTGAACTTTATTCGTTGAAAAAGCGACGGGCGTATCATGCGCTCATGGCACATATCTTTATTCTGGATTAACCTTCATCGGGAATGGTCAAATGCAAAACATTTATAGAATGTACTTGAATACGTGATGAGTCTTATGTATGTAGAAAGCTGACTAATTTCATTGAATTATATCCGGCTTCAGAATTCAAAGGGTTCATCAAGAACCATTCACAGTTTATACATATTTCATAAACAGCGAAATCATATTATACGTCAAGTATAATTATCAATTGTTCATCAGAAGCTGAACATATGGTACATTGATACGTAACATCCAGATAAATGTTGCATTATCTTATTATGTGTTTATTCGAGGTATAACTACATTATTACCTTATCCTATGATGTCATACCTTAACATCTGATTATTTGTACTGCATTTACTTTCTAACTTTCAAACATGCCTAAAATCTATTTTTTCTTGAAATCTTTAAGACTCAGCATAGATATTCTTTTCTCTTATTCCTATCCGATTTATCCTGTTCCTGAACTGTTGATTATTTTATTTAATCAACGTGTGGTTCGTTTGATCTCAGTTCTTCATTGGTCAAACTTCGATAATGACGTCAAATTGTCTTGCTTTCCTCTGAATTTCCTATTGTGACGTCATGAAAAAATGCGACCATGCCTGATGACGTCACATAGAAAGAACACACCTTTTTGCTGATCATTCGAAAACAAGGATTAAGATTTGTCTGTACATCGTCTAAAATCATTAGAGGAACAGATTCCACCACCAGATCTAGAGTAATACGATATTTATCCACTCTCGACAGTTAAATTTTAATTATTTATTACGCTCGACTAGCATCGCGTTTTAAATTTGAAAATGTTTAAACTGTCTCGAGTGGATAAATATCGTACTACACTCGATGCAGTGGTAGAATCTATATATATATATAGCTTCCGCAAATTTACAGATCTAACATTGTTTAGACGAATTATATATACAGAATGTATTTTCAGCCTTGTATCACCATCACTGCTGGTGATCCGATGGATAAAATCTGTTGTAGAGTCGTCACTGGTCCAGACGTACTTATAATATAATTATTTCCGTGACTGCATCTTACATTAATTTGTAGGATCCTTTACAATAGATAATTCAGCTGATCTGTAATTATTCCATCTTCATGCCTTATATATCATGTACTGTGTTACGACGCTAGATAAAAACTGACTGTGATCCGATGGATAAAATCTGTTGTAGAGTCGTCACTGCTATATACGTATATATACTTTTTCACTTTTTTTGGTTTTTTGG